GTCTTTCTCTGATTGACTTATTTTGCTTAGCATAATACCCTCTAGTTCCATCCATGTTGTTGCAGATGTCAAGATTTGGGGATATTCGATGGCTGCATAGTATTCCGGTGTGTGTGTGTGTGTGTGTGTGTGTGTGTGTGTGTGTGTGTGTGTATGACATCTTCTTTATCCATTCATGTGTTGATGGACATCTAGGCTCTAGATGACTTTTTAAAAATTATGAATGGATGTAAGATTTTGTTAAATACTAATTCTGAATCTATTTGAGACTGCCATGGGTTTTTTGTTTGTTTGTTTGGATTCCTCTATTAATATAGTGTGTTGGATTGGTTATTTTTGGACATTAACCTTACATCCTCAGGATAAATGCCATTTTGTCACTGTGTAGTAATTCTATAATATGCGGTGAAACTGATTTGTTAATATTTTGTTAAGGAATTTTTATGCTTATGTTTATGAGTGGTATTAGCCCATATTGTTTTGTTTTGTATTGTTTTCTTGTGATGTTTTTCATTGGCTTTAGTAGCAGTATACATAGAATGAATTGGTGTTTCCTTCTCCATTTTCTGAAAGTTTGTGAAGAATTGGTATTATGTGGTCTTTAAATAGTTGATAGAATTCCCCCAGTGAGGTGCCTGGGTGTCTCAGTCAGTTAGCCGTCTCCCTTCAGCTCAGGTCATGATTCCAAGGTCCTGAGATCCAGCCCTACATCCAGTTCTCTATTCGACAGGGAGTCTGCTGCTCCCTCTGCCTCTGCCTGCTGTTCCCCCAGTTTGTGCTCTCTCTCTCTCTTCAAATAAATAAATGAAATCTTTATCTTTAAAAATAAAAATAAAATCTCCAAAAAATTTCCAAAGTTTAAAAAAAAAGAAAAAAAAAAAAAAGAAGAAGAATCCCCCCAGTGAAGGCATGTGTGTATGAGTTTTTTCTTTCTTGGGAGATTTTTAATTACAACTTGATTTTATTTATTTGCTGAAGGCCTATTAAGGTTTTATATTTTAAAGGTCAGTGTTGGTCTTTCTAGGAATTTGTTCAGTTCATTTATGTTGACAAATTTTTGGCAAAAATTTATAATATTCTTTATAGTATTTTAACTCATTTATGATAAACAGTGATCTTTTCCCCTTATTCCTTGTTTTTCTTTTAAAGATTTTATTTATTTTTATTTTGAAGATTTTATTTCTTTTTTTGACAGGCAGAGATCACAAGTAGGCAGAGAGGCAGGCAGAGAGAGAGGAGGAAGCAGGTTCACTGCTGAGCAGAGAGCCCAATGTGGGGCTCAATCCCAGGACCCTGGGATTATGACCTGAGCCGAAGGCAGAGGCTTTAACCCACTGAGCCACCCAGGCACCCCTTATTCCTTGTTTTTGAAATTTGGGCTTTACTTTTTGTTTTCTTAATCGAAACTATACTTGAAAATCCTACTAATAAGGAAATTCTAACTCAGACTGACTCAGAAAGCTCAGGGAGCTCACTGAGATACATCAAGGGATGGAGAAAGAACTTTTGAAGGCACAGGGGATAAAAACAAAATGATTTCTTGATTAGATTATGTGAGCCAAGAACTATTAATAAGCTGGTTATTAAATATAAACAACATGCATCAATAATAATTAGAATTTAAATGATTTGACTACAAAGAACACAGCAATTAGTCATGTAAGATTTAGTTTTTTTTAAATTCACTAAATTTAGGGATGCCTGTGTATATCAGTCCATTAAGCATCTGCCTTCAGCTTAGGTCATGATCTCAGGATCTTGGATCTAGTCCCACATTAGGCTCCTTGCTCAGGAGGGAGCCTGCATCTCCCTCTGCCTGCTGCTCCCCCTGCTTCTGCATGTTCTCTCACTCTCTCTCTCTGTTGAATAAATAAATAAAATATTTAAATAAAAAAAATAAAATAAGGGGCGCCTGGATGGCTCAGTGGGTTAAAGCCTCCGCCTTCTGCTGAGGTCATGATCCCAGGGTCCTGGGATCGAGCCCCACATTGGGCTCTCTGCTCAGCAGGGAGCCTGCTTCCTTCTCTCTCTCTCTGCCTGCCTCTCTGCCTACTTGTGATCTCTGTCTGTCAACAAATAAATAAAATCTTTTAAAAAATAAAATAAAATAAAATTTACTAAATTTATATTTGAAACTTTCCCCTAAGTATTCAGTGATAACTAGTTTCTACATGGTGAAAATGTTAAAATAATGCTCATGCTAAGTTGTGATTAAACAAATTTTATCATCGCTGTCCCAAATACAGATTAGATGAGTCAGATGAAAAAGGGTCATTAGTTCCTCAACAAAATTTTCTGAATTATATGCATAAATGAAAAAAATCTATATGACTCCAACAAATTGCATTTTCTTGTTAAAAATTCATTGCTTAGGTATGGTAGTTCTTGAACAGAAATGTTACTGCTTCCCAAATTGGCTTGTCCCTCTGCCCCTCCCCAACTCATGCTCTCCCTCTCTCTCTCAAATAAACAAACAAAATCTAAGCACAAATGAACAACACACACAAAACTCTCTTCTTGGGGCACCTGGGTGGCTCAGTGGTTAGGCCTCTGCCTTCGGCTCAGGTCATGATCCCAGGGTCCTGGGATCGAGCCCTGCATTGGGCTCTCTGCTCAGCGGGGAGCCTGCTTCCTCCTCTCTCTCTGCCTGCCTCTCTGCCCACTTGTGATCTCTGTCTGTCAAATAAATAAAATCTTTAAAAAAAAAAAAAAAACTCTCTTCTTTATATGGCCTCAGGACTTGTACTTTATATACCATACAAAATAGAAAGTGGAAACTGATTTTTATGTTGGCAGATTAAATAGGCTAAATAATTCACATAAATTCCTAAACTAATCTGTAATATTAATTTGTTGTCTATTTTTTCAATAGCTAAATAAATTTTAGTTGTTTTCTAATACACAATATATACTCGAGTTTAAGAGCATGAACTTGGAACTAGAACCCCATCTTGTTACCTCCAACTTGTGATTTTTGGAAGAGTCACATCCCCCTTCTGTTCCTCAGAGATCCACATGCAATAATAGGGATAATAATAGTGTCTATAACAGAGTTACTGTGAACCTTAAAAGAGTTAATCTATGTAACATATTTTAGTATAGGTACACTGTAATCATAAAATATTAAGCATATACTTTTAAAATTTTGTTATTTTCGATAATTTCCAGTTTCTTCTTAGGAAAGTGAACCAAGTTTAACCAAATCATTGAATTTTAATTACATATTATGCTATAGGAGTAATTGATACCAAAAATAGATACAGAGCTAGATAACCTCCAAGAAGTACACTTCGTAATGAATAGTGTAATTTACCAAAGGTGAGCTAACATTTTATAAAACACCACCACTTATTTAATACAACAAACCTATGAATTTGGGACTCTAATACTCTGTGCTTTATAGGGAGAAACCAAGTTAAAGGTAGATTAAATAACTTGTGAAAACAGCCAACATTTTCTACCAAATAAGATAATTCCCTGTGGCCAATATTAATTTTTAAATCATAGATACTTTCTGCATCCATCTCCCAAGATTACCAATACACCTTCTATAAGCACATCCCCTATTCCAGAATGTACCATTCATCCTTACTTTGTGTTATCTTTGTGTGTCCTGGTACACGATGATGGGTTTCGCAGCGTCATATGTGAATATGTATACATTTATTATAATACTGTTTATAGTGCTTATTGTTTTCTAATAAATTTTAGCACAGCAGGATAGCGGAGAGTTGGCAGAATCAGTCATGTGTTGAGATTTTGTATGCTTCTTCCAAAGAATCCAGATAGAGTTCTCAAAGAATACTAATATTATGACTCTTCAGCAGCACTGCAGATGAAGGTTTAACACCTAAACCAAACCATAGAGAAGGTCTGGTGGCATATACATGGTATTTGGATTTCCATAGTCCTGGGTTTGAATCTTAATTTCTCATTCCCCTAAATGTGTGACTCTACACAAGGTCCTTCAACAATTTGGAGCAGTTTATCCATCTGTAAAATTTCATATGGTAAAATTTTATACCAAAAAAGGTAAACTGTGCATGCTATGCCTTACTAATTTAATTGTTTTGAGTCTTCTTCAGCAAATGACAGGGAGACAGGTAATATATCAAGGGCTAGGGCTAAAACTTGTGATGGGACTTGGTAGTTTTTCAAAACAACACTTTTTTTTTAATATAGGAAAAAAATCTTGTTTACTCTTTTCTTATCACCAGCAAGTCACTTTAGCGTGTATCCTAGCTTTCCATAATCTATGTCTTCTACTTCCTTAAGTCTGTTTTTTAAATCTTTATTTATAAAAAGCCCTCTCTCCTTCATTTTCCTTGTAATTTATCATCCTTTTCAGGAAGAATCATTATGAAAGAACTTTTTAAATATGTAGAAGATCCTACCCAATGAAGTTTTAATTATATGGACACAACATAGAAAACATGTTTGATCCAGTGAAAATTATCACTATTGGTGAAAGTTGGTTCTGTGAACTAACTCTGGTATGATGGCTACATGCTTGATAAAATACTAGCTAGGCAGTTGTCCTTAACTTCGGTGGTGTGTGAATTTCAGGTATAAACACTAGTATGATGCACTGCTAGTGCTCCAACAGCAAAACATTGATACCATACTCACCCATCCTTTTATCATTTATATTTTGCACATGGCAGAGCTTCCTGTAAAGGAAGGGTCATTTAGATTTATAATGGCTGATTTTAAAAAGTAATAATAAGGGATGCCTGGGTGGTTGGTTAAGCTTCTGACTCTGATTTTGGCTCAGGTCATGATCTCAGGGTCTGGGATGCAGCCCTGCATTGGGCTCTGTGCTCAGCAGGGAGTCTGCTTGTCTCTCTCCCTCTGTGCTCCCTACTCCACCTCAACAGACACTCTCTCCAAAATAAATCTTTTTTTTTTAATTAAAAAAAAGCAATTTAACACTATTTAGTATAAGAGCAATAACTGACCTGGTTTTGTAATTGTTTGTTCTCTTTTTCTCTTTTCAACAGGTAACCCATTATTAAGCAGCAAAGTCAACATATTGATTAATGTCTTAGATGTCAATGAATTTCCTCCAGAAATATCTGTGCCATATGACACAGCTGTGTGTGAAAATGCCAAACCAGGACAGGTATCTTATCAATATTGTTAACTAATAACATAAAAAGACCTACTATATGCATATGTTTCAGGGTATAAGACCACACATAAATGCATGCACACACACACACACACACACACACACACACACACACGTCAATATCGATATCAACATTGATATTGATAATGATCGAGGGATAAGTAGATTTTTTTTCCCTGGTTCATATGTTTTCATAAAAATAAAAAACCACAGGGGATATTAAACTTATAATTAGGGGTGCATTTATGGATGTAGAAGTAACATCCCAAGGGATAAAGTGATGATGGCCTAGTGAATATTCTTCATATAACTAAAAAGTCTAAGATTACAAATCTGCTCTATTTTCACTCCTTTACTGTGGAATTTCTATGGAATCTGTGACCATAAACCTAGTAAGCAAACAACTTTACAGTGCGTTTTTCTAGAGTGTTTCTTGCTTTGCTCACATGCTTTATGAAGGGGTATCTCAGAAAAGCTCTGTAGCCCATTAAAAATGTAAGGCTTCTTTCTCTAGTGGCTTTGAGTAGAACATCTGGGTTATTCAAAATCTCTGAATTACATTTTCCTTATTAAGTCAGTATTGCTCTGGTTCTAATGGAAGATGTCATGAGGGATGACCACATGGTTATAAGAGTTACTGTCAGAATTCTAGATTTAATGTGATTGTTGGTGTTGGTGTTGGGTAGCCATTTTTTTTTTCCTAGACTATTATAGATGGATGAATAAAATAACATAATATGTTATAATGTGATATGATGATATGATATAATGAATGAATCAATCATGAAAAAATGATGACAGTATGTCATGAAATAAGAATATGATTAATCCAATACTGTGCACCTAAGTTTCAAAGGAAAAATATATCAGTATGCTTGGTTCATTTTGTATTTTAACCACCTTTAAATAGCATAACTATTCATTTAAGTAAATTTAAAGTTTTAATAACTACTGAAAAAATCTTGATATTTGAAACAGTATCTTTATTGAAAAAGGTTATTCTTTAATCTTCAGTATTTGTTTCAATTTGAATGTTTTATACTAGAAAATCTGTTTATATGTAGAAAATCTGTTCCATAACCCTAATCCTGTGATGTCAAGTAGCTATGTAGTTATTAAATTAAAATTAAATAAAATTAAAAATCAGTATTCTCCTTATTACTAGCCACATTTCATTTGCTGAATGGCTGTATGTAATAAGTGGCTACCATTTTTTTGTCCATTATAGATATAAAACATTTCCATCAGTACAGAAACTTCTAGTGGACTGTGCTTCTCTAGTCCTTTCTCTGATAATTTGGGGAAAGTATTAGCTTTATTACAACATGACTTATTTATAGAAAAATTTGCATCCTTAATTTTGAATAGACACAGAAATACGTTAAAATGAAGTATTAACCCTTTATCACCTTAAATACACCCACAATTTACATGGGATAAGGCCAGTGCCCACTTCAGTATCTAAAAGAGTAGATGCTACATCAATGTTTAAACAAATAATAAACCTGTTTGGTTATTTGAGAAGTTACAAGAGGTTTTCTGAAATTCCATAACTTAGCAATTTCTCACTTTCCAGATCCTTCCACCCTCACCCCCAAAACCCAATCCTCTATTTTATTAGATAGTTAGGGATATTAATTATTTTATATTGATCAGACTCTTGTAATGCACCAAATGAAAGTCCTTTGGAAATAGAACTCCATTTGATGCTTCCCTGCTTGTCTGGTAAATTGAAGAGTTTAAAAAGTTGGGAAAAGTAGAAATGACCCAAGATAACTTGGTTTTCTTAGATCTGAACAAAGTGGTAAGCAATCTGTATGGGGTCCTTGGAGGCTCTTTTTCTAATAAATGCCTATTGGGTTTTCTACTGGGCCACATTTGTTCCTTGAGTTTTCGGGGAGTATGGTATGTGAGAATTTTCTGCTTTTAACCCAAGGCATTTTAGCCTTTGTCTAGGAACTATGCATAGGAACTCTCTATCTCTTCTGGCCTATAATTGGATATATATGTATGTATGCACGTATTATCTATCAAGAGACAAAAGAGAAAAGAGAGAAAGATGATGCTATCTAAATCAACAATAATATATATATATATAGTGAATTACTGAAGTAGGAGAATTCTTTTTTTCCTTAGGGCAATGACTCCCAAGTGTCAATTCCAGATAAGTGCCTGTTTATGCCAAAACTTTCTTCTCTGTCTGCTGTTTGAAAGGTCATTGCTTCATTCTAAAGTTATGTTCTTGATATTTTTTGATGTTAAATAACTTTAATTTAGTAAATGATTATGCTGCCTATAGTAGTTAAAGGCAAAACAGAATACCTGGTAAACCAATCCCCTAATAATTTACAGAAAATTAATGGATGGGATATAATGATCTGACTGAACATAATGAGTTTAGGTGAAGTTACATAAGTTGAAGTTTTATAGAACTGTGACTGATTCCCACTGCATCAGGGAACTGAAATTCTCATTAGAAAACTGATTTGTCAAATTAGAAATTACTAATATGGCACCAGACCCTCAAAGGCACTGAATATATGCTTGTGTGTGAGTGTGTGTACATGCACTCAACTCTATGGGGAGGTAGAACATAGTAAGAAGATTGAGTTTTAGCCATGGAATGAAAACAAAAGGTCGTAAATAAATTACATATTAAAAAAAAGTCATGTACTTAATGGTTTCAATCTAAGAACACATGATGTATGCTTTTGCCCACTGTGACCAAGACACAGTACCTGAAATGTAAGGTCTTCCTTTGGTAGATTAAAATTTCGTCTAAGGGAGTAACCACCTGAGCAGTACTCTACTCTCACTCTCTTCTGCACACATTTCCTGAAATTCTTTCTGACACAAAGCCATTGGATATATTAATAAATGCAACCTCAAAGGTATTATAATTTGCTTATCTATGTAGTGAATTATCAATTTCACAGTTTGGCTCTCAGAAGTTATTTTTAATCTCCAAATTCTTAAGGGCATTTTCTTGAAGTATCAGAATTTTAACTACTAAACACACAACCTATGGAAGCGATTTAAGAAAAAATTTGAAACCGGGCTGCTAGTGCTTACTTCTTAAAAAAACTTTATGAAAATACACTTAGTATTCTTGCTCACTGGGGAAAAACAAACATAAGGATAAAAACAGATTTACATCCTTTGTATTTCTCTTTCTCATCATTTTATTTATTTATGAAAATAAAATGCATTCTCACAAACAAAACTACACTAAAATTTTGCTATCTCAAGGGCTTTTAAATAATCAGAGATTTTCTTTCCAGTAAGCATTTTCATATTTAGGTTAGAAAGCATGTATTTTATTTAGTTTAAAATGCAAGCAAGTGCATTTTAATTTTATTTTGCTTATTAGTGAGAATTTTCAATGGTGTTTTTTAGTTATGCAGATATTGATTTGGAATTGCCCCACACTCTATAATTATACTTATGCCATTATGAACTGTAAATGTTTAGATATTTGTTCATAAAAATTATTTGTATATAATTAGCCCACTGATATGAATCCTAAAAATGTCATTTCTATCTCCTTGCATGCATCATTGGGTAAACTTATTAACCTGGTGTATGTAAAGTTCCCTTTGAAACTCATGACTGACTTCAGGTTTCATCTCAACTTTGTTTCAGATAATTCAGATAGTCAGCGCTGCAGACCGAGATCTTTCTCCTGCTGGGCAACGATTCTCCTTTAGATTATCACCTGAAGCTGCCATCAAACCAAATTTTACAGTCCATGACTTCAGAAGTAAGTTTACCACCTAAAAAAAACTTACCTCTTATAATGTAACTTTGTAAAAGGACACAAAGATAGAAATCAATGTTTTTTCTAAAAGCACTCAAGTTCATAAAATATGAAAATCCATATATAAGAAATATAAAATTCTATAGCTAGCAGTAAATTAAATATTTAATCTGTATAGATGGTATCTAATGAGGCAAATTGCTTCCATTTATAATGTAGACAGTCTCTTAGTGAGTCAAGCAAAACCAGCCAATCTGAGAAATTGAATGCTTTCTATGTTTTAAATATATCATTTGTTCCACCTGCACATTACTTGCACAAACAGATGGATAACTTCTTGGTAACTGGTTTATTTGAATGACACAGGGTACAGCACAGGTTAAGAACGCAGGCTTGTAATGAGAAGGACAGAGGTTTTCCTTCCCACTCCATTATGTCCTCAGTGGCAGATTCTCAGTATAGTAAGCTATACTGAATAATTTTAAACTCATACATGTACTGAATCAACGGCATAGTATTTATATTAAATAAAATAATGCATGCAAATCATTTAACACAATACCAAGGTGATTTTAGTTACCGTCTCTACCATGATATCTGCGTTTCCGTATCTGCCACCAATGCTGCTACCATCACCACCTCTGCAATTGCTACTAATACTATCAGATTTACCGGTAGACTCATAAAAATGCAATGGACACAGGATTACAAATATTAAAGCTAACTGCTGGTCAATTGTTCTTAACATTATTAGTTCTGTAACTGTGGATATTTTATCCCTTCTAAGTTTCCATAGTTATGAGATTGGGATTAGAAACATCTGAGTTCAGAGTATTGGATAGTAAAAAGCTAATTTCTTACTAAATTCTATTCTTAGAGAACAAATGAGCCAATTGTGATGACATGATCATGATGATGATGATGTTGGTGATGGGATGGACAGAAGTCAAAGGATGGCTGAGAAAATTTACTTTTCTGCAAATATTTAGAGGAAAGAAATCAGACATTTTGTCACAGAAGGGAATTCAGAAGAATCTGCTTCATCCAACAGTGTAATGTGAGGAATGTGTATAAAGGCAACAGGGTCCCAAATATGAGAAGCCTTCTAAGTAGAGAGACCACATATTTTGTTACAAAAACTAGAACACTATAGAGAATAGAAGTGGACAATATTAGTAATTTTAATTAGAACAGCTCACCTAAAATAGGGCTGTCCAAGACAAATCAGACCCTGTGCTTATTCTAACTACCTGCCATTTGAAAGGATATTAACTTAAATCCAATGACTTCAAAAGTCTTTGTAAGATTTACGAGAGCATAGGGGCACCTGGGTGGCTCAGTGGATTAAGCCGCTGCCTTCCGCTCAGGTCATGATCTCAGGGTCCTGAGATAGAGCCCCGCGTGCATTCCAGCTCTCTGCTCAGCAGGGAGCCTGCTTCCTCCTCTCTCTCTGCCTGACTCTCTGCCTGCTTGTGATCTCCCTTTCTCTGTCAAATAAATAAAATCTAAAAAAAAAAAGATTTATGAGGGCATAATATGTTCAGATTTGCATTAGGGAATCAGTTTGGTTGTAGTATGGAAAATATAATAGGAGGACTTAGGATTATTTCTGAAGCTATTGCAGGAGTTGGTGAGAGGATATTAAATTAGGGTAATGGCTAATGGAGATACGTGGATAGAGATAGAATTCACAGGGCTTGATGCTAGATTGCCTACAATGTTTATGTATTATGTAAATACTATGGAGAAGAAGACTAATCATTCTTCCAGATCCCTGGCTTGAGCAACAAAGTAGATGGTCACATCATTCAGGAACATAGAATGACTATTTACCTCACTGTATCTTTGCTGGAAAATAATCTTTGCTGGAAAATATATATCTGATTAATCATGATAACATGAATCAGATCATTTTGCCTCATAGCATAGTGTTTTCTCACAGCTTGAATATTGTTTGCTATTCATATGTCATTTACTGTATACCTTCTTTTATCTAAAGTTATATTTTAAGTATAAGTGTAAGTTTTTAAAAATAATAGAAACATTTTTTAACCTCACATATTTATCTTTTAAAAAAATTCCCCTTGGAGCTAGAACATTTAAGTTCTCACTTAGCAAATTTCACTTCTATAATACAGTGGTATCAACTATAGTCACTGTGTTATACATTAGACCGTCAGGCCTTATTCATCTTATAATCAAGAGTTTGTATCTTTTTATCAATCTTTCCCCATTTTCTCCACCCCAGGCCCCTGACAACCACATTTCTGCTGTCTGCTTTTAGGAATTCCTTTTTTTTTTTTTTAAATCTTTTTTTAGATTCCACATGTAAATGTTACCATGTACAGCATTTCTTTTTCTTTTTCTGGCTTATATCACTTGGCATAATACCCTCCAAGTTAATTCATGTTGTCACAAATGGCAATATTTCCTTCTTTCTTGTAACCAAATAATACTCCATTGTGTGAATATATATATTTATAGTTTATATGATATGTATTAACTTTACCTCTTTCTTCAGTAGAAACTATATTAGAAATGGACATGACGTTTAATATCTTTTTTTCCCCACCATGAACAGCACAATGAATTTTGTATGGTCATATCTCAATAATAATAATAGATTGAAAATACAGTAATCCTCCCCCGCTTCTCTGTTAGGGGATAATGGTCTAAGACACCTAGTGGATGCCTAAAACCAAACACAGATAATACTGTACTATATATATATATATATATATATATATATATATATATATATATATCTTTTACTATGGACACATACCTATGATAAAGTTTAATTTATAAATTAGGCACAGTAAGTAACTAACAGCAATAACAATAAAATAGAACAGTTGTACAAATATGCTCTAATAAAAGTTACGTAAATAGGACCTCTCTCTTTCTTAAACTACTTCATATTGTACTCACCCTTCTTCTTGTGATGATGTAAGATGATAAAATGCTTACATGAGTAGATGAAATGACCTTTGGACTGTACATCAGGAAGTGGATCAGCTGCTTCCAGGCCAAGGTTGACTGAAATCAGCGAAAGTAAAAACATGGATGGGGGGCGGGGCTACTGTAAACTTTAACAAAAGGGTAGGATGTCCTTTGTTATAATACATTCAGGAACATTGAATCCATGGTTCCTCAAGTGCATATATATCAGTTTCTCTAACTCCTATTTTTATTAATAATTTTCACCCAGATTTCAAACTTCAGTCCTGACTGTTCCTTTTCCTCAGACTCAAGTACTCAAATCAGTTGCTGAAGATTTCAATGTTAATTCAACGAGTCCCCATTTCTTTATTCCTACTGTCATCAAAAGTACCAGGTATTACTAAGTCTCACTGGGAATATTATAATTGACAATTGGCATCTTGATGTTGTGTTTTCCAATTTAAAAAATTTCCTCTATATAATAACAAAGTCATCTTCCCATGTAAAATGATCTTTTTTTTTTTTTTAAGATTTTATTTATTTATTTGACTGACAGAGATCACAAGTAGGCAGAGAGGGAGGCAGAAGAGAGAGGAGGAAGCAGGGTCCGCGCTGAGCAGAGAGCCTGATACGGGACTGGATCTCAGGACTCTAGGTTCATGACCTGAGCCGAAGGCAAAGGCTTTAACCCACTGAGCCACCCAGGTGCCCCAAAACAGTCTTATCAAGTAAAATTTTCTCAATGAAATGAGTCTAGAGAAGCTGCTTAATTTTTAATTATTGAATCTAGAATATACAAAGAGACAAATGGAATATTATTGAGATAGTAACATTTTTCTGACTTACCTGTATTTTAATGAGTAATATATATTTCTAAAATTAGTTTCAATGATTCCAAAGTCGATATTATGTATGGCTCTAATAAAGTAAATATTAACGTGTTTTTATAACAAAATATTTCAAGGAGTTACTTTAATAGACACAAAAAATGAAATGGTGTTATGAATAAAACCAAATTCCCACTTCTATATGTAGAAATAAAAGAAGTAAAGAATGAATGCATGTAAAATAATACTTTTAATAGCAGTATTAATTGCATTTATATAAAAGCTAATATATTTATTGCCTTGAATCATTCTAAGTAAATATTACTATTGTTGATTTTGTCAGAACTAAAATGAATTATTTTTGTCTTTATATTAAAATACTGATTATTGTAATTTATTATGTTTAAAGTTTTAATGAATTTTTTTAAAGATTTCATTTATTTATTTGACAGAGAGAGAGAGAGATCACAAGTAGTCAGAGAGGTAGGCGGGCGGGTGGGGGGGTGAAGCAGGCTCCCTGCTGAGCAGAGAGCCTGATGTGGGGCTCGATCCCAGGACCCTGAGATCATGACCTGAGCTGAAGGCTGAGGCTTAACTCACTGAGCCACCCAGGCACTCCTGAATCTTGATGTTTCTAACACACTTTATTTTATTTTCCATTTTCCATGTACAGAGTGAAAGATGTATACACACACACACACACTCACGCACACACAAACACATGCATATATACATATACATGCACAAAAGTGAAAGATATGCATATATACATCTATGCATTTTTTTTTTACCATATAATCATAGATACAGATCTGGGAAAAATAAAAAAATCAAATGCTAAATTGATATTTGTTGTATTTTAAAGAACAGATTCTTAGGTGAGATATTTTGCAGACTCGTGCTTTGTAATCTCTACTCTTTCATCATGTAAGCAAACACCCACAGATACACTTTTTTCTCAATGAGATTTTGATGTTAAAAAAAAAATGGGTCAACACCCATGCACACAGTGGGTTAACACAGCATACCTCTAGTCTCATAAACAGTTTTATATTCTTTCTGAATTGAAAATTTAATTCTTACACCAGACAAGATTAATGTTTCTTCTTTTCTTAAGGGTTATTTTGATTGCATTTGATTCCATTTGTCAGCTTTCATAATAATAAAAGAAAGAATTAAAATACGGATGCCTTTTTGCTAATGCAAGAAGAGATTCCTACTGTTTAACCTATACCAAATTGAAGATCTGAAGCGAAGCTTTTAGTAACCCTCTTACCACAAATGTCATGTTTTGTAGACAACACAGCTGGAATTGAAACCCGAAGAAATGGATACAGCCGCAGACAGCAGGAGCTGTATTTCCTCCCTGTTGTAATAGAAGACAGCAGCTATCCTGTGCAGAGCAGTACAAACACAATGACTATTCGAGTTTGTAGGTGTGACTCTGATGGGACCATCCTGTCTTGTAATGTGGAAGCAATTTTTCTACCTGTGGGACTCAGCACTGGGGCTTTGATTGCAATCCTACTGTGCATTGTTATACTCTTAGGTTGGTTTCAATATTAATCACATATTCTCTCTCTCTCTCTCCATCTCTCCCCATCTCCTCTAGCCTGTCTCTTCACAATTTACCGTGTAAATCAGGTTTTCTTCGTGAAGATGTCACATCTGGATAGAAGGAAGATGATCTCTATTGAATATTTTTATTAATGCTAATTTTCTAATATCTAAATATCAGAACACAAAACTATGGTCAAACCCTTGGGGATTTTCAACTAATAACAGCTGGTGGCCCTTGCCACAGTGAAATTTTCTGTAACAATCATCCCATGTACGGCAGTGGGTTTTTTAAAGTGTGTTTTTTTTTTTTTTTAATTCATTGTACATTCCAGTAATTGTTGCTACCTAATAAGATATTATATAATCTTCAAAAATATACTACATGAACAGTAGCTCTCAAATGCCAGTTCAATAAAAGAAGAAAAGGAAAGAACAGGAAAGGAGTGAGAGAAAGTGAAAACACCCCCAACTTTGCTTTTTTGTCACCCTGTTTAAACTGCCAGCCAAAAGCAGTTCTTATCCCACTTTTCTCACATCTCCTCACATCAAAATTCTAACCATTCCCACTAGAACACCACACACTGAAATATCTAGAAGCATTGCAAAGGAAAAAGGACTGAGGTAATGTATTCTGTAACATCTCTGTAAGAATTAATATAAATCTACTTTAGGGGTTTCCCTCTTCCTTCAATTCTGTTCAGCTGGTTCCCTTCACTTATTAATTCACTGGCAGATTCACAAAACCAGAGAGAGCTTTTCTGTTTTGCCAGTCCTTTCTTTAAATTTAAATGGAACAGAGGTACAATTGGGCATCGTGGAATCCATTTATACATGCTTCACAAATGTAGGTACACACCTCTATCTTAAGATTAAAAAAACAAAAGCCAAAAAACTGGGATGTAAAGCTGGAGTAAGGCATTACATCATAGTTTATGGAGAACATTCTCCAAGTGAGAAGCTCATGTTAGTTTGCAGATTGAAGTTCTAGTCCAATTTGCTTGGTATCGACATTAATTCCACACAAGTGACTCTCGTATACAGAAGAAAAGTTTCCTTTCTGTCCTTATAATTCATAAGAAGTTAGTGCTGGTATCTGTTTGTGCTGATGATATGAACCTTAGAAGGGAGGATTCAGAATAACATTCGTATATCTGAAATCGAACACCAGCAAGCAGGTGTTTAACCTCAAATCAAATGTTACGTTTTAATGCTTCTCTCCTGTCTGGGAGCCACCTGAGTCCCAGAGTATTTCCACATCCACCTAGCATGACTTGGCATGTTCTGGAGGCTCACCTTTGGCCTCTCTGGCCCTCTTACAGTGTAGTGAGTGATCTTGCTCAGGTCGGCCGCAGTGTCCACAGTGCACCTCACACTTCCAGGGGGAGCTGGCCAGGATACAGCTGGGAATGGTGGCTCTATGAGTCCTGCCATGGGGTGTACTTAAAAATCCAACTATTCTTGGACTTCCTTAACCAATCTCAGACTCCTTCAGATCTTTCCACTTATCCTTAGCCATTTTCATATCTTTCTTGGGATGAGGGGAAGCAAGAGTGCCTTGTGGTGTCTAGGAATCTGGTAGGGGGCCCCGAGTAGGGCCCTTCTCCGTCGCAGCACTCCAAAGCCATTTTATATGCAGGGCATCTCTGTGACGCTTGTAGATTCTCACCCACTCTCTGTGTGAACAATCAACTTTTTAGTTTTTGGATTTCCCTAAGTGCTGGGAGGAGTTAAGAGGTCTAAACACCTCTTTAAGACCTGTTGTCCAGGACCTCTACCTAGATATCCTCCCTCTTTCCAGTTGGTCAAACTTTAGTTTTGGAGGAAGAGGGAATAAATGAGCTTTCACCATCACTCAATCTTCTCTAATACCTAATTTTAGGATAAGAGTCTTCTAGACCCTGCTATAGTACATCAGACACACTTTGGCTTCCAACCTATTACCACCTCTGTGAAGGAGAGGGGCTTTTAGGATGAGCAAAGTTGAGCACTGATTTCATCATTTGAATCTATGCCCATCTGTTTCTAGAGGCAATAAACTTCCCCCCGTTTTTATTTTTTTAAGATTTTATTTATTTATTTGAGATAGAGCAAGAGAACATGAAAGCATTCACACTTGAGGTAGAGGGAGGAGCAAAGGGAGAAGGAAAAGCGGACTCCTTGCTCTGCAGGCACTCTGACATGGGTCTCAATCCCAGGACCCCTAGATTATGCCCTGAACTGAGGGCAGACACTTAACTTACTGAGCCACCAAGATGCCTGGAAATAAACGCTTCATGATTTATAAAATGAAGGCCCTTATACTCTACACTCTTCTTTCCTTCCTTCTTTTCTTCCCCTTTTAAAATTTATTGCTTTTAATAGTTATTGTCTCATGAAGATTTGGGTTTTTCTTAGAAATATAAGTAATTGTTGCAACTGGGAAATCTAGCTATGAATAATATGTGTTATTTATGGGCTCTAATATTCAAGTTTTATTATACCACCACTATACAGCTCTCTGTATGCTTACAACAACTATTCCTTTAAAAAAATTGTGACACACACTTTTTAACTGATACTAAAATTTTTAGATATAACATAAATTAAATATAAGACTGTAATTGCTTGGTTTTGTGAATAATTTGGCTAAGATTTGTTAGCTACAATTTCAAAATGAATTTGAGTAAACATAGATATGGTCCTTTTTGTGTAATATGCTTACTTTGAAAATAACATGTTGGCCAGCCCTGATCGATTTTATGGAGATATGAACTACACATTCTCAACTTGCAATTTTTGTCTTCTAGCCATAGTTGTGCTGTACGTAGCTTTGCGAAGGCAGAAGAAGAAAGACACTTTAATGACCTCTAAAGAAGACATCAGAGACAACGTTATCCATTATGATGACGAAGGAGGTGGGGAGGAGGACACCCAGGCTTTCGACATTGGTGCTCTGAGAAATCCAAAAGTGATTGAAGATAACAAAATTCGCAGGGATATAAAACCAGACTCTCTCTGTTTACCTCGTCAGAGACCACCGGTGGAAGATAACACAGACATACGGGATTTCATTAATCAAAGGCTACAGGAGAATGATGTGGACCCAACCGCCCCACCATACGATTCATTGGCAACATATGCATATGAAGGAAATGGCTCAGTAGCAGACTCCCTTAGCTCTATAGACTCTCTCACCACAGAAGCGGACCAAGACTACGACTATCTGACGGACTGGGGACCCCGTTTTAAAGTCTTGGCAGACATGTTTGGTGAAGAAGAGAGTTATAACCCCGATAAAGTCACTTAGGGCAAAAGTGAAGGACAAAACACAACCAAAAGGAGACATTTAAGAAAAAGAAACATAAGTAGAAATCACACACACACATACACATAGGTGTACACATGTGCACAGAAACACACACACACACACACACACACACACACACACACACACCAGGCTTTATAGGACACAATCCTTTGTTATCGGGTTTCTAGCAAGTTGCTATATTTATCATATTGTCAGTTTTGTTTTTTTTTCTTCCAACACAAGATAAATCCTATTATGTGTACTTGCTTGGTTTTGTTTTGTTATTTTGGAAACACACTGAGACAAGCTCAGGCCTATTAAATACGATTTACTGACATGACAACTTAGAACGAAGATAGCTATGTGGCATCACGGTGGAAGAGTGTTAGATTTTTCTTAATTCCACTAAAGTGCCTATTGAAACTCTTATCATTTAAAATTGTGTACAATACACTCTGCTGTGATGGCATTGCAGGATTCAGAGATACAGAGGACAGAAAACAGAGACACTATGTCAAGGAGCAATAGCGACATGCTGACTTCTAATTCCTCTTGAGGAAAAGAGAAGAATACTTTCTGAACTCCATCTTCTTATATTCAGAGTTTCTTTTTTTCTTTTTTAAACTGTATGCCAAAACACATTTTTGTTTTTCCTACCCTTTCAGAAAATTGAAATAAATGCGAAACTATCAAATTCATTATGTAAGTCCTGAATTTTAAGAGCAATGTTTGAACTTAACATTAGTTCATATTAAAGGTGTTCAGTAAAATGTTCCTTTTTTTTCCAAAAAAAAAAAAAAACAATTAAAAAAAGGAAGTTAAAAAAATCCCTCTTGATAAAGAGAGGCCTCAGGGCTGAAACTCCACATTAAAATAAATATTGGTTCTGTCTTCATACTGTGCTGGTGTGTGGAAAGTTGGTTTTAACAAATCACCAGATTATGAAAGTCTTCAGTCACAGATAACATTTTTAAGTTGTGTCTCCATGAAATTTTTTTAAGGAAAAAAGTACCATTAATTTAAACATGGGAAGAGAAATTCGTTATATAGCTTCTCAGAGTTTCTTATAAACTAGTCATTTTTTTTGTCAGCAAAGACAATTAAAATACATATACAGGATGGATTTATAGCATGTCTAAAAATATTTATTATATACTACCAAACAAATGAAAAATCAGGGATTTCAGAAAAATCAAACCAGTGACTAATTCCTAAAATAAATGCAAATGCAAAATCAGGCAGTTGATTTACTTATTGAATTAACATGGACTTCAACTTTGTAAACATTATTATTATACCAGATCTCACAGTTAATTCTTTATGCGATCATCTACAATAATTCCACTATAAAGGATTCTATACAATTCGTGTGCTCTTAAAGAAATTTTACTTTTTAATTTGATGCAGATTTCTGAGAATTGTTAGATTTTATAAGCCTACAAGTAAACTACACTCGTATACTTTACTCTCCAGTGAACTGTACAGTATCTAGAAATGCACTTAACAAAACAGATAACTATGAAGTGATAATATATTTTCTTAATAATATAATTATACATGTGACTACTGAACTATTAAGACTATCTACGGGAAAAAAATAAAGGTTGCTTATAAGATCCATCCTGAAAATGTGGTCAATACCTAGCTGTATTTATGAAATATTTATGAATATATATATTTGCAAAATTATAAAAGAATTCACACATGGGAAAAATGGGTAGAAATATAGATAGTATAGGCAAGTTATAGTCAGTCCTATTTATTCTTAAGTGTTACTTCAAACATATATAAGTGATAATTATATGGTGGCAATTTGGCTGTTTGCGTTTGCAGTTCACATCCCTGTTTTGGTGTCACATAGTTACACACTTTCCTTGTTTTCCCTACCAGAAACAAGGACTGACCTTCTTCCTCTCTGCTCCCAGGTTTTACCTGTGTCTCATCTCTGGGAACTTCGTTAGAATATTCATGTACTGTAATAATTCACAGCATGATATGCTTTGGGAAATATTTATGTATTTTTAAAAAGCTGGCAATGTCGTATGAAGGCAACATCTGGGTTTGTCCTAGCCACACAATTTACTATGCAGTGATGCATGACCCCTTGAAGAAGGTTAATATGCAAGATCACTTCCAGCTGACAGCAGGATTCTTGTCAGGAGCGGCTGCATTCTGTATGTTGCTCTAAGTGTTCTGGAGGCAGTCATAGATTTAGGAAGCAATGATGGTACAAAGAAAGCTTGGGAAGGGCAGGTCATTTCAAACCCCATGACTGAGATGCTAAGCAAAAAGGTAAAGTTAGTCTTGATTTTGCCAAACTAATTAGTTTTTGTTCTGTACATCTATCTCTTATTTCTGCTACGCTATTGCAATAGTTTGTTAGGGCTGCCGTGACAAAGTACCACAGACTGGGTGGCTTAAACAACAGAATTGTATTCCTTGTGGCTCTGGAAGCTGGAAGTCCAAGATCAAGATGTCAGAAAAATCGGTTTCTTCTAAAGTCCTCTCTCTTTGACTTGTAAATTTTCTTTCTCCTTGTCTTGGCTATTTCCTGTGTCTTCATATGGTCTTCCCTCTGTGCTAATTCCTCTTCTTTTAAGGGCACCAGTCATACTGAACCCCCTCACATGAGCTCTTTTTAACTTAATTAACTCTTGAATGCCCTATTCTTTAAACACAGGCATATTATGAGGTACTGGTGATTAGAACTTCAAAATATCAGATTTAGGGGGACATAATTCAGCCCCTAGAAGCCACACAGATGTTAACAGCAAATTAAATATATATATGTATGTGTACACACACATATATACACATTTGTTGTAAATTATACACACACACACATATATATAATTTACAACAAATGAGGAAAGAAATTTGAAAAGAAATAACATCAAATGGAAATAATTTCAGATACAGTAGGAAATCAGAGGAGTGATATGGTGAAAAGAGGTCTCTCGGTGCTCAAAAATTGGAATTATTATGGGTTATCTTTTAGAGCATTCAATACTTGTATAATCTTTTCTAATCTTTTAAATTTTTAAGTTATTTTTAATCTTTCTTTTAATTTTTAATAAACAGTTCCTGGCCTTCATTCAGGAATTAAACAATACTTTGAAAAGGATTAGAATTTACATGGAGAATTTTGGCCATTAATAACAATCATATAAAACTTCTGAATTACATTATAGATTTACCTTTACAGAAATATATATGCACATACTATATGTAACATATGTATGAGATATATGCACATACTATATGTAACATATGTATGAGATATATATATATATATATATATATAATGCAATCTTTGTGCCCAAAAAAGTATTAGATCAACATATAAGAGTGAAACAGTGTAAAATACTAAAAGTAATTTAAATTTCTTTTGTAGCATATTCTATCACTAACTGGAAATGTGCTATGGGGTGAGCACCTTTACCTCCATGTTCTATTCTCTTTGGTAAAATTAGTTTGTTGCCCTTGGTATTATCTAAGTTTCTTCTGTAATATCTTGATGCTTAAGTTCTAGCTACAATTACAGGAGTCTATTAAATTATTTGCATACTGATTACATAAAATTATGCAAAACAGGGATTTTTAAGATATAATTAACAAAAATCTTTGAAATATGGATTTAACTAATTATGCATTGGCTCACCATGTACCACATATGGAGAGCTGGGAAAATATTCCCTAAGTTATAATTGTCAAAATTCTTCAGGAAAACAATGAAAGAATGCTTAAAAGAGAAAGATCCTTAGCCAAAGAGGAAAAACACGTGATGGGAAGAAAATATTAGAAGGACGTGTCTCTTGTTCCTTGTCTTTAAGAGGAGGATATTTTAGAAATCCTTGGCAAAGTTTTAGTAACTCATGTACTAAAATGAGTATTTTTAAAAGCAGGTATAAAAATGCGGGGATATTTGAAGTGGGCCCCCAAGTATGACTAGGTATGAAAAGAGTTACTGAGATGTCAGTAACAAGATCAGTCTGTTTCCCAAGAAAAAAAGGAGTGGGAAGGTGACAATTTTACAACACCATTTTGAAAACTTCTCTTGCCTCCTCCTCTTATTCATAGTTTAGCTAGCTATGCAATTCTCATTTGGATTAAAAAAAATATTTTGGATGTGTTTTCTATCATATTCTGGCATCCAACCCAGGGATGAATGTATCACTTCTTCCTTTTATGTGATATGAATTTTTTTTTCATGATGATATTCAGATTTTTTTTTCTTATCCTTTGTGTTATGAAATTTCACACTAATGTATCAAGATGAGTCTTTTGTCATTCTCAGGACTAGACACCCAGGGTGTCTTTTCAATATAGAGCCTCAGATCCTTTAGTTCTGGGAGATTTTTTTGTATTTATCCTCTGATGGGTTCCCACCCAATGTTCTCCTGTTCATTCTGGGATTTTTAATAGTTGGCTGGATGTCTTAGGGTTAAGAATTAAGTGCATTATCTTTTAACTATCTTATATTTTTATCCCATTGTCATGATTACCTTTTCATCTTTGTCTTCTAGTTCTTTTTTTTTTTTTCCCTTCCAGTTCTGTTGATAAACTTTCCAGTGATATTTTTTTCTGATTTCAGGAGCTTGGTGGTATAGTGTTGTTCTGTTCTGTCACTTTTCCTGTTATTCCGCTCTTGTTTTTGGATAGTTTGTTTCTTTATTTCCTCTGATAATGTTAATTTTAGCTCCTCTTAAAAATTTTTGTAACTTTCTTCCCCTCTGAAAAGTTTATATCAAATAGATGAGGTAAGAGAGAGATAGACATTCATTTTAGCTTATTCTATTTTGATTCATGTCTCATTCTAGTTCTCTGCCATATTTGATATGTCCAAGTCTTAACATATGATAAGACAGGTTATTTACTGTACTGCAACACTGGTTCTCTAATCTGCAATTTTATACCTAATTTCATTAATCACTATTCCTTTAGCCTTCCAATAGTTTGCTCAAAATGCTGGTCTGCTAATAGGCAATATGCCATTCTCTCTTTTGTTGAGGGGATGCACATACACAAACACACACACAAACGAATACATATGCATATATGTATAATTTATAAAT